CGCAGACAACATTCTGCTGTTCTTATCCACTCCGCAAATTTCGGAGCCAAACTTACTAGCCACGCTCTCTCAATTTGCTTCTCTTTCTGGCTCTCTGTAAACGCTCAGAAAATTACCGCCCTTAACATATCACTATCGGAGGAAGAGCTATGGCTCACCCAAGCATTTTTACCCTTTTCATGGGCCCAGCATCTTCTTTATTTGGGTATCAAGTTAACAACTTCTCATTCTGACCTTTTTGCTGCTAATTATCCCCCAATACTCACATCTGTATCTTCAATGACTCGCTGGTCCTCTCTTCCAATTTCTTGGATATGTAGGATTAACGTTCTTAAGATGGTTCTTACCCAAATTACTATACCTCTTTCGAGTCTTGACGATTTCTGTCCCGGCCTATTTCCTTCGTATTTTGCAGAGGCGAGCATTGTCTTATGTTTGGGGCACAAAAAAAAAGCTGCGGATACCTAGTTCCACATTGTTTCTCCCCAAAGCCTGTGGCAGAACCGCTCTTCAAACCCACCACAAAACATTCTCTGTCTACCTGGGATAGATTCAAGGCTACATATGGATTGCAATCCACTCACAATCCAATGCTCTCCTTTTTCAAAAACCCTACCTTTCTTCCAGCTTGGGAAAGTCTTACCTCGCTTCATGTCTGGAATGCCACGGGCCTTATACGCCTATATAAACTAGTCAATGCGTCCTCTTTTCTGTCCTTCCCCACTCTCTGTGACTCCTTTTTTGGCCTTCTGGGTTTATATCATTTGTTTGGCCTGTATCCTGTTTTATACCCGGCCTCTTGAAGGCCTGCCCGTCTGTGTTTGTCAGCCCTCCTCCCTTTCTTCTTTTCTGTATCCTATGTTGAAATAAAAATCTTTGACAAGGAAAAATAAAACACCCAGTGGTGATTACATACCACCAAAGGAAAGCTGTGTGTGAAAAAAAAAGATAAAAATTTCATATGGGTACAATGTTGCATGACCATTCAAAGTGCAACAGTGCTGAAAATTGTCCTGAAGGGGATATATGTGCCAGGTAGGCAAGTGGTTAAAGTGTGCCATGTTAAGTATCTATTTACTCATAACATAACATTTTTTATATTTTACAAAAAAAAATGGGTATTATATTTTTGTTTGTGTACACTAAAATTCATTAGTGTGTTTCTTACTAATTTTTATTGCTGCACAGCCATTTTTAAAAAGAAAAGTTGCAAAAAACACCATTTTAATCTCCAGGGCCTCTGCTGTCAAAAAATGTTTGGGGGTTTTAAGTAATTTTCTGGCAAAAAAAATGTATGTGAAAAGTATCAGAATTGGCCCGGGTGGTTAAAGGTGAACCCCCTTTGTCTGTATAATATGGGCAGCACAGGGGCTAAATGGTTAGCACTTCTACCTGGCAGTACTAGGGGTCACTGGTTTGAATCCAAACCATGGCACCACCTGCCTAGAGTTTGGATGTTCTCCCTGTGCCTGCGTGGGTTTCCTCCGGGTATTCCGGTTTCCTCCCACACTCCAAAGACATGCTGGTAGGTTAATTGGATCCTGTCTAAATTGTCCCTAGTATGTGTATGTATGAATGTGAGTTAGGGACCTTAGATTGTACGCCCCTCGGGGGCAGGGACTGATGTGAATGTACAATATATATGTAAAGTGCTGTGTAAATTGATGGCGATATATAAGTACCTGAAATAAAATAAGTCTATTATATTGCAAGATTAGCCCTACCCCCTACAATTAATATGCTTTCTGCTCACAAGTTTCTTTGGTGATGTCTGTTTTACATTGTAAAACAAAACCCAAAATGCTAAATTTTGTTCCACAATTTTTTTTTTTATTTAAATACAACACAATTTTATTACATTGGGGTCCTGAGGAGAAAAATGGAAGGAGGGATGAGCTAGCTGGCCCCCTGATTTACAACAAAGGCTGTGGAATTCTCAAGTACGTTCACCTTTCTTTTTTATCTTGTTCAGGTCATCCATTATGTTGTCAACTGGAAGAAGAAAACACAAAGCTGAAGTGATTATTATACAGAAGGCCAGTGCAAGGATGGGCAAAGAGGGGTGAAGGACACTGAATGGAGGTCAGTGGAGGGATTGGCAGAGAGGGGTGGTGGACACTAAATGGAAGTCAGTGGAGGGATTGGCAGAGAGGGGTGGAGGACACTGAATGGAGGCCAGTGGAAGGATTAGCAGAGAGGGGTGGTGGACACTAAATGGAAGTCAGTGGAGGGATTGGCAGAGAGGGGTGGAGGACACTGAATGGAGACCAGTGGAGGGGTTGGCAGAGAGTGGTGGAAGACACTGAGTGAAAGCCAGTTGAGGGATTGGCAGAGAGGGGTGGAGGACACTGAGTGGAGGCCAGTGGAGGGATTGGCAGAGAGGGGTGGAGAACACTGAGTGTAAGCCAGTGGAGGGATTGGCAGAGAGGGGTGGAGGACACTGAATAGAAGGCTGTGGAGGGATTGGCAGAGAGGGATGGAGGACACTGAATGGAGACCAGTGGAAGGATTAGCAGAGAGGGGTGGTGGACACTGAATGGAAGCCAGTGGAGGGATTGGCAGAGAGGGGTGGAGGACACTGAATAGAAGGCTGTGGAGGGATTGGATGAGAGGGGTGGATGACACTGAGCGGAGGCCAGTGAAGGGATTGGCAGAGATGGGTGGAGGACACTGAATGGAAGCCAAAGGAGGTATTGGCAGAGAGGGGTGGAGGTCAATAGAGGGAATGGCAGAGAGGGTCAGATGACACTGAATGGAGGGCAGTGGAGGGATTGGCAGAGAGGTGGAGGACACTAAATTGAGGTCAGAGGAGATTGGCAAAGTTGGGTGGAGGGATCAGCAGAGAGGGGTATGGGACACTGAAGGAGGTCAATAGAGGGATTGGCAAAGATGGGCAGAGGATACTTAATAGAGGCTAGTGGATGGATTCAACCGGTAACAAGGGGCATATTTTGGAGATGTTACAGAGGTGACTTTTACAAGATTTGGACAGTGATTGTATTTGAGGCTGAAAGGGCAGGTCAGAGTCTAGGATTACATCTAGCACCCTGTTGGGAGGAGGGGGACAGTTGCATTATTGATCTATATGGAAAAGTCACGGAGGAGGGAATAAGCGAGGAGAAATATTTTTCAGCTTGATGTTAGAGAGATTTAGTTTAAGGAATTGGTCAGGGCCTGGACAAGGGGTGGCAGCGACAAGGGCAGCCGGGAGGGTCAGCTCCCCTGAGCACAATGTTTTACTGTAGGGATGGGGGCATCTTCTTCTTCTGTTATAAGACTAACAAGATGGAAGCCGTGGGAGGTTATAAGATGGGAGCAAATGACTGCGAAGAGGTGTAGATAGAGAAGGGGTCCAAGAACAGAACCTTGGGAGACCCCTACAGAAAGAGGAAGTGGAGAGGAGACAGTTACAGGGAACACTGAAGGAGCACTGCTATAGGTATGAGAACCAGGATAGAGCAGAATTTTGAATGCCACGAGAGTGCAGTTTGAGAAGAAGCAGGCGGTCAACAGTGTCAAAGACCGCAGAGAGGTCTAGCAGTAAGAGTATGGAGCAGTGGCCATGAGTTTTAGTAGTGCGGTTTCTGTGGAGTGCTGTGAATGAAAGCCAGACTATAAGGGGTCAGGAAGGTGGTTTTCAGTGGGTAGGAGCTCAGATGGATGTAGACTAAGCATTCTAAAAGTTCAGAAGAAAAACAGGAGCAAGGAGATGGGTCTTAATCTGTTCAAGCTGGTTTGGTCCAGTGATGGCTATTGGGGTGATCTGTGCATGCTTTGAAGGGGAGAAGAAGGTGCCAGTAGAGAGGGAGAGACTAAAGATGTGAGTGAAAGAGCATAGGATAGAAAAAGTGACTGTAGTACTTGCGTGGGAACAGGAACAGTGACTGAACATTGTAATGGCACATCCAGATCTTAGGCTATCATACCCTATACAATCAGATTTGACAATTTCTGTACAATCTGCTTCTTCATCAGAGCTCTGAAGAAGGGACCCCCTTCAAAACGCGTCAGCCTTACATTGAGAGTCTACCCTGCGATGTGACTCGTCCTGGCTCTACACTCCTAAAGTTCCTTTGAGGACCTATATGCTTGATTTACTTTGTTGTCTGTGAGTATTATTCTCAATTTAATAAAATCAGTTTACTGAGGTAATGCGCAAGGTTGGTGCGCTTTTTGTTTCACTTTGCAGTACATTGATATGAGTTCATACAAAGTTTGAAGAACTCACTGGCTTTGGTTAGGCTACTCACGACAGACAAGGCTAGCCTCCAGTGGGTACCCATGTAAGGAGAGCCAGACCAAAAGATAAAAGTACCCTCCTGTGGGTCCCCATTTATGGAGTGACGGACCAAAAGATAAAAGTACCTCCTGTGGGTCCCCATTTATGGAGTGACAGACCAAAAGATAAAAGTACCTCCTGTGGGTCCCCATTTATGGAGTGACGGACCAAAAGATAAAAGTACCTCCTGTGGGTCCCCATTTATGGAGTGACGGACCAAAAGATAAAAGTCCAAATTCATTGATTAGTTTGTACTAAAAAAATATCCAACATGTTTCGGCAATCAGAACATTCTGTTCAGGGAAGCCTTACTGCTGGACCAGGATAGTTACTGGCCAGCAGCATCTGGGGAGCAATTAAGATACGATCCCTTGCACAAATTCACACAGGAAAGCTGTATTTTGAATTCATTCAAGGTCCTTCCTTTAACTGAAACCCTGATGAAGGGGGAGTTGTCAACCCCAAAATAAACTGAAGTTTTTTTTAGTACAAACTAATAAACTAATTTGTACTCGTATCTTTTGGTCTAGTGCTTCTTCCGTTTGTGCATGCATTTTTGTCAATCTCTAGCCAATCAGGCAGGTCCTTGGTAGTTTTACAGGATATTTTGCAAGCAGTTTGCATAGTGTATGGTCAAGACTAAGACTAACTCCCTCCCAACACTAGTAGAATGGATACGGTATTCATGCTGTGCGATCACAGAGCAAAATGATACGAAGGAAGCTGACCTACGGCCTCCCCTCCAGTCTTGCACAGGTCTACCGGCCCCTCCCCCTCCAGTCTTGCACAGGTGTACTGGCTCCTCCCCTTCAGTCTTGCACAGGTGTACCAGCTCCCTCCCCCTGAAGGGGGGGAACCATTACACCTGTGCAAGACTAGAGTCTTGCACAGGTGTAATGGTTCCCCCCCTTCAGTCTTGCACAGGTGTACCAGTTCCCCCCCTTCAGTCTTGCACAGGTGTACCAGCTCCTCCCCCTCCAGTCTTGCACAGGTTTACCAGCTCCTCCCCCTCCAGTCTTGCACAGGTGTACCGGCTACTCCCCCTCCAGTCTTGCACAGGTGTACCGGCTCCTCCCCCTCCAGTCTTGCACAGGTGTACCGGCTACTCCCCCTCCAGTCTTGCACAGGTGTACCGGCTACTCCCCCTCCAGTCTTGCACAGGTGTACTGGCTCCTCCCCCTCCAGTCTTGCACAGGTGTACTGGCTCCTCCCTTGGACTGAAATAGCTTCCTCTGATGTCACTGCACACTGGGAGCTTCTCACAATGTGCATTAGAAGCTGCAGCCAGTCAAATAGAGCTCCGCCTCATTTCCTGGCTGAAGGACGCCCAGCACCATCATCTAAGATTTTTCTCTCCAGCCCACCTGTTCCTGGCCCCGCCCCTGTCATTCATCGAATTTCAGCATTGCCCTGCACTGTGCTACTAAAAAAGGCCATGAGCATATCTGTTGTGAAGTGTTGGAAGGCCGTTCATAATGAATGGGCTGCCTTAATGCAACACGTATAAAGGTGTGTAACGTTGATCACAATAGTTCATTTTACATGCGAGCGGATCCTCAAAGATGTTCTTTTCCTTCTTGTTCATGTTTTAGCCCCCCGTCAGCTTGATGTCAATGGCTGGTCCAGGCTCTACAGCAGTGGTTCTCAACCTGTGGGTCACGACCCCTTTGGGGGTCGAACAACCCTTTCACAGGGGTCTCCTAAGACTATCGGAAAACACATATTTCTGATGGTCTTAGGAACCGAGACACCGCTCCTCTATCAGTCTCCAGGCGGGTCCGCCCACATGCAGATACGCCCACATTTCCCTGGACGCGATGTGTGCGCGGGATGACATGCCAACCCTGTCATCTGGCCACATCCCTGGGATCACTCAACAGCTCTGCCTCCTTGCCAGTGATTGGCCGCCAGAACTGTAGCTCAGGAGAGGCACACAGGCGGCCAATCACCGGCGAGAAGGAGGAGCCGAGCAGCAGCGCGAAGATCAAAGAAGATCGAGCAAGGGAGCGGCCGGAGAAGGAAGACAGCTGACTGGTAATGTCTGTAGTGTGCAGATGGTGCTGCTGCAGCCAGGTATGCTGGCTGTAGATGGGAGAGGGAGGGAGCGAGCCCAGGCTGGAGCAGGAGTCAGCAAGGTAAGTATCATTGGTGTCAGTAGGAGGAATAGTGCCCCATCATTGGTGTCACTGACACCAATGATGGGGCACTATTTCCTCCCACTGACACTAATGATGGGGCACTATTTCCCCCCCCCACTGACACCAACGGTGGGGAACTATTCCTCCCCCCACTGACACCAACGATGGGGCACTATTCCCCCCCACACTAGTATCAATGATGGGGCACTATTCCCCCCCACACTAGTATCAATGATGGGGCACTATTCCCCCCCCCACTGACACCAATGATGGGGCACTATTCCTCCCACACTGATACCAATGATGGGGCACTATTCCTCCCACTGACACCAATGATGGGGCACTATTCCTCCCACTGACACCAATGATGGGGCACTATTCCTCCCACTGATACCAATGAAGGGGGACTATTCCTCCCACTGACACCAATGATGGGGCACTATTCCTCCCACTGACACCAATGATGGGGCACTATTCCTCCCACTGACACCAATGATGGGGCACTATTCCTCCCACTGATACCAATGATGGGGCACTATTCCTCCCACACTGACACCAATGATGGGGCACTATTCCTCCCACTGACACCAATGATGGGGCACTATTCCTCCCACTGACACCAATGATGGGGCACTATTCCTCCCACTGACACCAATGATGGGGCACTATTCCTCCCACTGACACCAATGATGTGGGCACTATTCCTCCCACTGACACCAATGATGGGGCACTATTCCTCCCACTGACATCAATGATGGGGCACTATTCCTCCCACTGACACCAATGATGTGGCACTATTCCTCCCACTGACACCAATGATGTGGCACTACTCTCACTGACACCAATGATGTGGCACTATTCCTCCCACTGATACTAATGATGTGGCACTACTCCTCTCTCTCACTGACACCAATGATGGGGCACTATTCCTCCCACTGACACCAATGATGAGACATTATTCCTCCCACTGATACCAATGATGGGGTACTATTCCTCCCACTGACACCAATGATGGGGCACTATTCCTCCCACTGATACCAATGATGGGGCACTATTCCTCCCACTGACACCAATGATGGGGCACTATTCCTCCCACTGATACCAATGATGGGGCACTATTCCTCCCACACTGATACCAATGATGGGGCACTATTCCTCCCACTGACACCAATGATGGGGCACTATTCCTCCCACTGACACCAATGATGGGGCACTATTCCTCCCACTGATACCAATGATGGGGCACTATTCCTCCCACTGACACCAATGATGGGGCACAATTCCTCCCACTGACACCAATGATGGGGCACTATTCCTCCCACTGACACCAATGATGGGGCACTATTCCTCCCCCACTGACACCAATGATGGGGCACTATTCATCCCACTGACACCAATGATGTGGCACTATTCCTCCCACTGACACCAATGATGGGGCACTATTCCTCCCACTGACACCAATGATGGGGCACTATTCCTCTCACTGCAAAATTACAGTTATGAAGTAGCAACGAAAATAATGTTATGGTTGGAGGTCACCACAACATGAGGAACTGTATTAAAGGGTCGCGGCATTAGGAAGGTTGAGAACCACTGGTCTACAGGGATCCGCCAAGATGCCTGACTGACAGCCTGAGCCAGCCATCCCCTCCCCCTCCGCAGTCTGGCACTCCAGTGAGTGCTGAGGGTACAGCACAGAGCTCAGTGAAGATTAAGACAGTTGAAGCATCAGATCGACGTGGCACCCACCTACATGAATGTAGATGTTTGGGGGGTTTTTTTTTTTGAAACCTAGACTTCTCTTTAATACTTTTTACAATAGTTACCTGATTCTTGCAGATCAGACACATCCATTTTCAACCCAGAATCTAGAAAAAAAGAAAAATGTTAGAAAACTTACAGGAAGGACTTTGCAGAAATCAATTGACTGCTGAGAGCAACAGATATTCACAACACGACCATTTTAAAACACAAAACAAGAATGAGAAAGTGCCGTCAGGGGTGTCTCATGGATTTTGGAGAAAAAGAGATGAATTACTTCTCTATCTCATTCAATTCTGTATGGACAAAATGTTTTAAGCTTGAGCCATTGAGCTCTGTACACAAACGTATTTTTAATTCAGTAAAACAAATGAGAGCCGGGAAAAAAGCGTACACACACACATGGTCCGAAAAAGAGAAAATATCAAGTGAGTGGCAGTTGTGTGGTGGAGAATGCCTTGTTGATGTCGGAGGAGAATGGGCAGACTGGTTGAAGATTATAGAAAGGCAACAGTAACTCCAATAACCCCTCGTTACACCCAAGGTATGCAGAATACCATCTCTGAATGCACAACATGGCCAACCTTAAAGCAGATGGGCTACAGCAGCAGAAGACCACACCGGGTGCCACTCCTGTCAGCTAAGAACAGGAAACTGAGACTACAATTCACACAGGTCATCACAATTGGACAATAGAAGATTGGAAAAACATTGCCTGGTCTGATAAGTCTGGATTTCGGCTGCGACCTTCAGATCGTAAGGTCAAAATTTGGTGTAAACATGAAAGCATGGATCCATCCTGCCTCGTATCAACGGTTCATGGATGTGCTGCTGCCAAATCTGCAGCAACTGTGTGATGCCATCATGGCAATATGGAGCAAAATCTCTGAGGAACGTTTCCAACACCTTGTTGAATCTATGCCACCAAGAATGAAGGCCGAAGGGGGTCCAACCCGGGACTAGCAAGGTGGACTTCATAAAGTGGCCGGTAAGTGTCTATTTATGTATAATTATATTGTGGGGGATCACCTTCCCTGTGAAAATGGTAGTCCAGACGGCAGGTCTTTTCTTAAAAATCTGACTTGTAGCCAGTTTTATTTAAAAGGTTCTATGCATCATAAACAGAAAATAAATCCTTGCCATCCAGGCACTAACTAAACAGAAAAGGTTCCCATCTCACAGGTGAAGGGCTTCTCCCTGTCACCAACAGAACAAAATGGTGTGCAAACGTTTTCCTTTCTTGTACAACGCAAACTTTCATCCACAGCTCTCTCAAGTATGGCTCCCTGAGTCCCAGGCCAAGAGCAACTTCTTGCCCCAGTCCTGATTTAGTTATACCACCTGCTGATGGTCATCAGTGGACCACAAAATCTGGTCCCGAACCAACTCTGCCAAAGTGGCTGGGTTTTATATATACACACTATATTGCCAAAAGTGTTGGGCCGCCTGCCTTTCCACGCACATGACCTTTAATGGCCCCCCAGTCTTAGTCCGTAGGGTTCAATATTGGTTGGCCGGCCTTTCCACACACATGACCTTTAATGACCCCCCAGTCTTAGTCCATAGGGTTCAATATTGAGTTGGCCCCGCCCTTTCCACACACATGACCTTTAATGACCCCCCAGTCTTAGTCCATAGGGTTCAATATTGAGTTGGCCCCGCCCTTTCCACACACATGACCTTTAATGACCCCCCAGTCTTAGTCCGTAGGGTTCAATATTGAGTTGGCCCCGGCCTTTCCTCGCACATGACCTTTAATGGCTCCCCAGTCTTAGTCCGTAGGGTTCAATATTGAGTTGGCCCCGCCCTTTGCAGCTATAACAGCTTCAACTCTTCTGGGAAGGCCGTCCACAAGGTTTAGGAGGGTGTCTATGGGAAGGTTGGACCATTCTTCCAGAAGCACATTTGTCAGGTCAGGCACTGATGTCGGGGGAGGAGGCCTGGCTCGCAGTCTCCGCTCTAATTCATCCCAAAGGTGTTCTATGGGGTTGAGGTCAGGACTCTGTGCAGGACAGTCAAGTTCCTCCACCCCAAACTGGCTCCTCCATGTCTTTATGGACCTTGCTTTGTGCACTGGCGCACAGTCATGTTGGAACAGGAAGGGGCCATCCCCAAACTCTTCCCACAAAGTTGGGAGCATGAAATTGTCCAAAATGTCGCCTTAAGAGTTCCCTTCACTGGAACTAGGGGGCCAAACCCAACCCCTGAAAAACAACCCCACACCATAATCCCCCCTCCACCAAACCTTACACTTGGCACAATGCAGTCAGGCAAGTACCGTTCTCCTGGCAACCCCAGACATGTCCATCATATTGCCAGACAGAGGCATGATTGATCATTCCAGAGAACACATCTCCACTGCTCTAGAGTCCTGTGGCGGCGTGCTTTACACCAAGGCATCCAACGCTTTGCATTGCACTTGGTGATGGAAGGCTTGGATGCAGCTGCTCGGCCATGGAAACCCATTCCATGAAGCTCTCTACGCACTGTTGTTGGG